TCATCATCATCATCATCATCATCATCATCATCATCATCATCATCATCGGGGCCAATGCGGCAAAAGAAATTCAAAGAATCCTGACCACAGCATTCTTAGGCTGATGCTTGTCTCATTCCCCCAACAGTAAAACCGAGTCACCCAGGGGGAACACTCTCCAGGTACCAAATGGGGCCTCGAGGATTCAAACGTTGCATCAGCTACCTGGAGTCTCTTGTGGGACTGACATGGTCCTAGATCACAAGGATGATGGCGGGTTGTTGAGTACAATGCCCAAGGGATATCCCTAGGATGATAGTCCACACCGGTCAAACAGGAGAGAACGCATCTCTGTGCCGTTTATACAACTTACCTCAGCCCTGAAGTACCTAACCTTTCTGGACAAAAGGACTGCCACAGGTAGGGGATGACTGGACAAAAGGTAAAGATGTATCTCCTGGAAATACCGGAGATATTTTTGCGGCAGTTACCAAAATGTACGCATTGAGGCAGTAACAGGTTAGGCGAAGGGGTGCCGGGGGTGGGGGTGGGGGTGGGGGTGGGGGTGGGGGGGGAGGGAAAAGCTCCTTGGACTGGACACACTGCTGAATGTGCCTTCCAGCCAGACAGCTCATGACAATTTGACTGCAATTTAAATGGATGTAGCTAGCAGGGGATGTCCCCGAACCTGCATCTCCCAAATAAAATACATGTGTACCTCACTGAGTGTCTGCCCTGCCTTCATTCCTCTTAGGCATCACCAGCTCATTCCAGGGGCAGAAAAATGCCATCCTCCCGATGTCATGGGCAGAAGGACAAACTGGATGGACTGGCCTCAGGCAGGCCATCCAAAAAGGGGATATAATTCAATTACTTAACTGCAAACTCTAAGACTCACCAGCTCTCTAGGGAGTTATGCTGTCAAGCACTCTGAACTTGTGCCACTTGGGGACACTGAGTGAAGTCCTCCCTGGGAAGCTCCAAAATCATAAACAACACTTTCTTTCCAAAGGTACCATGTGTACCTCGTCTTTCATGGAAGTTGTGCACTAATTTGTGTCCCTCAAGCATCGTCTATCTTAGCGGTGGTCATAATGGATCACCAAGTGTTTAAGTCATAACAGATCATCAAGTGTTGAAGTGTTTAAATACCACTAGTACTCACGTAGCCCTCAGACAACTGTGAAGTGCTCTCCAAAATGACGCTAGCTTTGGCTCCTTGCAGGAACCCACCCGAGAACAACTAACTCCACACGTAGGTGGGTTTATGCCCACAGCGCAGGTAGTTTTATCCCCACAATGGAAGTCATCCACGAACCAAAGGTAGTCTGAAATCTGTCCACAAAGTTAGTTGAAATGATCAACGAATGGCTTCAAGGGAGTCTCAACTCCCTGGCCAGAGTTATTAATGATGACAAAGTTGCCCTAGACCTCTTTCTTGCGGACCACTTGTGCGTGTATCTTGCCATGCCTCAGGCCAGTGGAAAGGTCAACACCGGGCCCCACGGAAGAATGCCATCTGGCTTTCTGATGGTCTATGAGACTTCCTCAGCCAGTTACAGCAGGGCAGGGTTGAAGTTAATCCTGCCACTTGGGCTCTTCCTCATGCTTGGAGTCCTGTTGATAGTATCCTATGAGATAGACTGGAAAAATCTGGTCCTGGGCTATGCCGGTCAGACTGAACAAGTGTGGCCAATGGGCACCCAACAGAAGATTCACCAGAACCTATGACAGTGTTTCTGCCTCTCTTGTGGGCAGAGACACGACACACCTCCTGTCTTTGTTTCAGACTATCTTTTCAAGGATGCCCTGGGGAAAAAAATAAAAATGGCATTTACTTCTAAAGCAATGGGCAGATTTGCTTACTGCCTACGTTTCGAGTTGCTGCTGTAACAAAGGGCCACAAACTCAGTGGCTCATTTATTATATCCCTTCTTGAGGCTCTGTGGGAGAATCCGTTCCCTTGTCTTTTCTGGGGGCTACCTGTGTTCTTTGGCTCCTGGCCCTTTTTTGCATCTTCAAAGCCAGTAATAGCAAGTTAAGCCTCATGCATTATGGGGGGGGGGGGGGGGGGGGGGGGGGGGGGGG